GATATGCAGATGATACCACTCTGATGGCAGAAAGTGAGGAGGAATTAAAGAACCTCGTAATGAGGGTGAAAGAGGAGAGTGCAAAAAATGGTCTGAAACTCAACATAAAAAACCCTAAGATCATAGCCACTGGTCCCATCACCTCCTGGGAAATAGAAGAGGGAGATATGGAGGCAGTGACGGATTTTATTTTCTTGGGCTCCATGATCACTGCAGATGGAAAAAGCAGCCACGAAATTAAAAGACGCCTGCTTCTTGGGAGGAAAGCAATGACAAACCTTGACAGCATCTTAAAAAGCAGAGACATCACCTTGCTGAATAGTCAAAGCTATGGTTTTTCCTGTCGTGATGTATGGAAGTGAGAGCTGGACCATAAAGAAAGCAGACCACCGAAGAATTGATGCTTTTGAATTGTGGTGCTGGAGGAGGCTCTTGAGAGTCCCCTGGACTGCAAGGAGAACAAACCTATCAATTCTAAAGGAGATCAACCCTGAGTGTTCACTGGAAGGACAGATCCTGAAGCTGAGGCTCCAGTACTTTGGCCATCTCATGAGAAGAGAAGACTCCCTGGAAAAGACCCTGATGTTAGGAAAGTGTGGGGGCAAGAGGGGAAGGGGATGACAGAGGATGAGATGGCTGGACAGTGTCTGCAAAGCAACCAACATGAATTTGACCCAACTCTGGGAGGCAGTGGAAGATAGGAGGGCCTGGTTTGCTTTGGTCCATGGGGTCAAGAAGAGTCGGACACGACTAAACAACTAAACGACAACAACGAAGGGATTTAAAAATCTCTGCCAGAGGAATTCAGTGCACTCTTCTGAACCACAGCAGAAAATTGTCTATGGTACATCAGCTGTGTAGTGGAAAACACACTATCCGGTTATTTAACCAGAACTACATTTTACAGTGCCACGCAGTATCACCTGCAGAGGGAGGGAGAGAGATGACTATTAGTGGTATATTGCATTATATCCTCTTGCATGCAAGCCAAGTGATTTCCTGAATTAAGGAGTAGTTCCAGTTAGGTTACTTTAAAGAAGCGGGAGTACAATAATAGTGGTCACAGTGCCCTAGATACCATTGATGTATTGATTTTGTTCAATCAGAAGTGAATGTAAATTAATAGGAAGTGAACACAAATATCCTAGTAAGAATGCACCCACACAGTCATGCCATGTGAATAAAATAGAACAACCTGCTACTAGCTCTTGCAAACTAGTCTGGTAAGTTAATTTCAATCAGAAAAACAGCAGCCAAGTGCCACCTACACAGAGAGACATGACTCAACACAACCTAGACCAAATAATAACCTCAATATGTACATCTCCCTGTATTTCACTCATTATCATCTTAAAAGCGGTGTTCAGCAGCTGCTACCTTCACAGACTTGACTTGCTCTGTGTAAATGTATCTTAGCCCCGTCACACCTCAGCAGCAACTGTATTGCTATTTCTAAGAAAGAATAGGCCAGCATGTAAAACTTTTGAATCTCAATTGCTGATTTAGTAGGTTCAAAGTGCCCAAGCAGGTTGTTTTCTTTCGCGCGTGCGTGCGTGCGTGCGTGCGTGTGTGTGTGTGTGTGTGTGTGTGTGTGTGTGTGTGTGTGTGTGTGAGAGAGAGAGAGAGAGAGAGAGAGAGAGAGATTCACTATTTTTTTAAAATGTAAGTTGTATCTTTTAAAGACTGCCTTTTTCCCAGCAAAGGAACCCAAGGTGACTCACAATGTGAAAACAAGTAGTACAAAAGGCACAATAAATAAATAAAAGCAATTAATTGTGCAATAATAATTGAAAATCCACTAATTAATTAAAATCATTTAAAACTTTAAAAACAGACATAGAAAACCAACAAACACTACAGTATATGGAAAAATTTTGTGTGCATAATTGTAAGCTAAGGGGTATATTTAAAAGATGTTTGTTTTGAATGTATTCCTCATCTAAATTTGTGTTTCACGGTTCAAGGTGCTGTGGGTAAGATGACCTTGCATGGTAAGGCATAGGAGATTTACCATGTGGCAGTGACAGGCAACAGTAGGGTAGCAGCATTTTGAGTAATGCCAAATGAGGAAGCTGGGTTACCATTTAAATTTTCCACAATTAGACATGGGTTATTTGTATTTTTATCCCCGGGGACACAAATACAAATATCAGCACCACAGGTGCCTGGGACAGCCAGACTCTGCCCCTGAACCAGCAGGTCCACATACTGCTTGCAACACGGTGCACATAGCTGGTATCATTCTCATTGCTCCAATTCAAGAAACAGCCCAGTCAGTGCTTCCCCACCTCCCCACACATCCAACCACTCTGGTGAGGAAGCAGGATGAAGAGTCTCCCCACTTAGCTGTTGAGCGGATGGTTTGAAGAATTACACTGGCAGTGTGTGCCACGTGGCAAGCAGTAAGTGGACCTGACGGTTTGGGGGAGGATCCGGTTTTTTCTATCCCAAGGGATATAAATACAAATATCCCATGTCTACCCACAATGCTCTGGCAGCATCACTTCAGGGTACTGTGAAAAATGAAGGTGGCAGTTACTCAGTGTCCTGGTGCTGCATGATGGTACCTGTCTGTCATGGGTTTGGAGGGAAAGTTCCATCCTATGGGGAGTGGAAGGCGGGACATCAGGGGGGAGGAGCTGTACTGTATATATATTTGGAGCTTGTGTGGAGAAGAGGAGTTGGAGTCTGTGTGTCAGACTGGGTACAACTGTGTGTCAGTTAGTACATACCTGATAGGTTCAGGTTTCTATTTAGGTAGCCAGAACTGACAGGTTCAGGGTCTGTGCGTTACCTTAAAGGGTTAAGTGGGAACCAAGCTGTTGTATGTGTGTGATTGGGGTTATGCCACGTTACATTATCCTATTTACCTGATTCTTTTATGTACCCTGTTTGTTATTTCAATAAACCTTGTTCTTTTATTTATTAAAATCCATTCCTGGTCTGTGTGACTCCTTACAGGGAATGGTTGGTGGCAGCATAAGTACATGGTGGCGTACTCCAGTAGGTCTGGGGTTGTCACACTCAGTTACCTGGTGCTGCATAGAGCACTAAGCGTCAGTGGTGGGCCCTGCCAGATTGCTAGAGTTCAGGCAGCTTCCCAAGTATGCCAGATTCTAATGCCACTCCTGCCCCTTCTGGTAAATATGGCAATTCGATGTCTTGTCCTGAGATGCAGCCCAACTGGGCTACGACTGAAAGCAAAAAATGCATAGTAACTTCTTCCTTGTGTGGTCATTTGTTTTCCCCATGAAGTAAATGAAATATTCATGATAATGTTTCTGATTATACAAATCTAGGTTGAATGGACATTGTATTTGGAAAAATACAACACAATATCCTTCATCCTGACCAATGGCCATCTTCTTGCCTCTCACTCATTCTAATCTGCTCAGCTGACTTTTGAATGCATCTACCTCCTCCCCACAGAAAGCTATCTTGTTAATGTCTGCTCATTTCCAGGATACAGTGGGGTGAGGACCTGACCTTCATGACCTTGTTTACACTCCCAGACAGAACTCACCTAAAAAAAAAAAAGTCCCCATGAGCACTATAAATGTTGGGCAACCTATGTTGCTCTATTTTATGTACACATTTACCTTTTTTTTAAAAAAAAATAAGAACCCAAATAATCATGTGAGGGGCAACACATTTGTAACTGGCTCTAAGACTATCTCAGAAATCTAAGACCTTCGTTTTGATTGGTCTGGCCTGCCACAGATTAAGATTGTGAGTTAGAACCAGGCGTGGGTTGTGTTCACACCCCACACCCAATTTATAACATTGATATGGTGAAAATATTATCACTAGACTACCATTCGTACTGCCACTCGCAGTGATTTAATTGTGGGGTGGCAGTCCAAAATTCTCCCTGTAGCAAATATGTGTGAGAGTCTCTCTCCCGAGTCCCACCCCAATGATATGTACAGAAACAGACTTGTCATAAGGCTTTCCCAGGCCAGTTTTTTAGACTCGTAAACTCCTTCATATGAATACTTAAAATTAGCTGAATTATGGGTTAGTTGAGCCACACACTCGGATGTAGTCCTGTACTTTGCTACCTACCTCATGGAGAATTTTTTTGGGGGGGGGCGTTGCTTTTGTTTACCACCGTTTAGTGTGGTATATATTTGATCATTTAAAAATCTTTTTATGCTTACTGTTTTTAGCTTTAAGTATTGCCTTTTAATGATGTGAGCTAATTAGCTGAATTATGGGTTAGTTGAGCCACACACTCGGATGTAGTCCTGTACTTTGCTACCTACCTCATGGAGAATTTTTTTGGGGGGGGGCGTTGCTTTTGTTTACCACCGTTTAGTGTGGTATATATTTGATCATTTAAAAATCTTTTTATGCTTACTGTTTTTAGCTTTAAGTATTGCCTTTTAATGATGTAAGCTGTCCTTTATAAGAAGAAAGGCAGGGTAAAAAAAATATTTTAAATAAATAAATAAATAATTGATTTAGTTAAATTATCTGCAGCTGTTTGGTTTTGGTTGGTTGCATGGAAATACAACAGCAATTAGATTATGAGCCCTAACTGGGGTAAGAATGCCTCTTACATACCAATGCAGGTATGAAGCCTCTTCTCACCTCTGGAGCCTCTCCCTGCCCTGTCTCACAGGACACTTGGAAAGAGAAGAGGCGGCATTTTCCAAACTAGTTTTCATGGCCTCACTAGCCATTCTGCCATTTTCTCTGAGGCATGTTCTTCCATCCCAAGCACATTCTCACTCATCCTTGCTGCCTCAAGCACAGTTCCTGGCCCACCTTGACAGCTTGGCAGAACCCTCTCATTGTCCCTTGACCTATTTCTCCTACGAGGTCACCTTCTGAATTCCTGAATGACATGGGGCAGAGATATGTAGCCTTCCACTGACATACCTTCCCTGTTAATTCCATGGGGTGTTGGGCAAATGTCCTCACATTACTGCTCTGAGTGTGTTTGCTTTTTTCATTTAACACACACAGGCATACAGAATTTCAATGCAAATAAGCTTACTTTGACTCTTCATTTCTCAAAGCATCACCTGGACACTAATCCAACAGTTTGGACATTTGACTATCGTCGCTTTTTTAGCAAATTGGGAAGATATTTGCTTATGTGCTCTGCAGAGAAGAAACAGAAGTATGGAAATAGGAAGGGCCATCCCAAGACATTTCACTGCCTGGGCAAAGTGCAAGAGTCCCTGCACGCATAGAAACCAGATGCTTTGCAAACCTGACACTTCAATTCTGGAACTGGGACAGAGTCCTCTAACACACCTGAGAGCAGCAAATGACATTAAGAGGCACAAGACAGGCTTGACAGGTCTCAGGAGACATAGATGAGGGGATGCTACTGCTCATTCCAGATTGCTCTCTTCTGCCTAATGGTACAGCTGTCTCTGGAAATGGGAGTAGCTGGAGTAAACTGGCTCAAGAATTCAAACAAATGAAAATGAATGGGGGAAGGTACCATGGTTTGAAGAAGTCTAGCAACCTGAAGCTGGAAAATAGTCAAATATAAAACTAGATATGGGGCCTACAGCCAAGCTTTGAATAGTTATGTCAAATAAACATTGAAGCCCATGCCCTCCAACACGTACATTGAGTTTGGGCGGGGGGGAGCAACGTCTTTCCTTCCTTTCCTTCCTCCTTCATAGCATTCATCCCCCTTAGTCACCTCACATTCCTATACGGTTCTTCTTTTCAGAGTTCCACCACCTCCAAAGGGCTTTCTCCTGGGCTGTGCTTCAGAGCAAGAGAGATAACATACAGCTAGCAGAGAGACAGAGACATGAGAAACTAGAGTTGCCTGCTTGTGACTGATGAGTCCCTCAGCCAGGAAATAAGCATATAAAAAAAGAAATAAATATGTATGTATAGGCATTTATAACATAAAATTATAATAATTATGATAAAAATTATGAAATTATTATGTATATGTGTGTTGTGTGAATATGTATATATGTACCTGTACATATGTGTATATCACACACACACACACACACACACACACAAATACATATATGTACATTTGGAGATACTGTACAGTATATCTAAATCTGTATTCATATTCCTTCAGTGAAGGTTATTGCAGTTCACTGGCACAATGAGTCACTTCATCCTATTTCAGATGTGGATAAAATCTTTTAAACAAATTTGACAGCATGTGTGGAGAACAGATTCAGAACGAGACCGTTGCAGAGCATAGGAAAGGCTAATTTTTTGTTGGTGTTCATTTTTATAAGGAAAATTTCCCTCTCTAGCCCACCCTCAGTTGGCACTCCAGGGAAACTCAGACCCTGTTGAGGAGTTTCTCCAAAACATGCCTGTTAGTTTAGTATTATCCCCTTATTATTTATGAAATAGCTCAGGAGTGGCCCAAGCATCCCCACTTTCTGTGGCAACTTTATACCTTCTCTGTGTGCATTTTACACACATGGCAATACACACACACACACACCCATGCTCCATCACTACAGTCACTAAAGGGGAAGGCTTTAAGGAAGATGATCCCCCAGAACCCTGCATTCTGGCTAGTCTTCCCACAGAGTCTTTGCTTTGAGATCCCATCTAAAGGCCAGCAATGCTTGAAGAAAGACTGTGCTGAGCTGGCTTATGGCAGGCAGCCTGCAGTATGCAGCTGATACCACCATCTCTTACTTCTTTGGGAGGTGTACACCTCCCTGCCTCACTGTAGCCATAGTGCATGCCTTCGGTTCCTCCTCTCTTTCGCCTTTATTTAAGTGGACTGCCTTCTCTCCTGGGCTCTGCTTCCATCATCTCTTGCCGCTGTGTGCCTTTTCTCCCCTCCCTTCTTTCTTGCAGATGGAAGGAGGTGGCCTTTTGCTTCTGCACAAGGGGGCTGCTACCCCTCCCTGTGCAATGTGGGAGGAGTCCTACAGGACCTCTGAAGCACTAAAGCAGCTGTGTAATTGTGCACGCAAGACACTTCCCTCAAGCATGAACTCCCCCACACTGGAACAGCCTCTGCTAGCAGCCAGCCTGCTGTCCCAGCAACTCTCTCCCAGCCTTATGCTAGATGTTAGCCTTGAAATAGTGGCTGGATATCAGCAAATATAGATTTTTTTAAAATTTTATTTAAATCCCGCCTATCTGGTCCTGCAACCACTCTAGGCGGCTTCCAATACAACATAAAACAGCAAATAAAAATAACACAAGAATTATTACATAAATAACTTCCATAACAATTTACGAGATGGGAAAAATAAAGTAAAAAATAAATAAATAAAAATAAAGAAAGAAAGAAGAAAGATCAAGTATTGACTTAAAAGTGAACTATGAGTGAATTAGAGATCTGTAAGAACGCTGAATGGAACAGAGAGTTAAAAGAGGTTTAAAGTTAAAGTAGAACTGATTCAAATAAAATGATTAGCAACCTGTGATTTACCTATTGAATATTAATCAGATGTTAACTTCCCTGATCTAATAAATGACTTAAGTTTTAAAAGCACGTATGCCTCCATGATTAAATGTTATTAAGGCAGTAATACCTGGTGGCAGCAAAGAAAGAAGAAGGGTGAGAACCTCGTGAAATAGGGGAATAGGGGCTTCAGAGGAAATTGCCACAAAAGTAGATGAGAAAGTAGCACACGCTGGCATTTGCTGTCACACTGGTATCTCATAATTTCTGCTCCAATAGGATGGGGATACCTCACAGTATCCTCCCAACTTAGGAGAGATCATGGCACCCAGTTTGTTTTAAGTATACGCAGAGCCCAAAGCCACCTTATTCCATATTTATAGTCTATAAATTCATTTTCCTTACTATCATGACTTTCCTTACTTCCTTTCCTTACTTTTTTCCTAACCCATTAAGAGTCTATATTTGAAAAGATGAGGGAAAGGGCTATGTTGTCTGGGGACGGGAATCTGGTACGCATTATAATATATGATTGCATATTAAGTTACACATGTAGGTATGAAGAGGAAGTATATACAAATGCAGAGAAATCTCCTTTGCATGAAATTGAAAAGGTTGAGCTTTAAGATGACAATGCTTGCTAAGCTACCTCCATCTGTTTTGTTTTTAAAATACAGCCAAACCACTGAAATCTGAGTCCTTTTGCACACCACCTCTTCTTGAACTGAACTGGGCTTCTATTTTATTCAACTCACATATGAATATAGTATTCATATATCTCAAGGTTCCTGAATCTGACTCCCTCTAAATATGTTGGACCAAAAGTCCCACTAACCCCAGCCAAAAACATTCAACAGAAGTGGATATGTTTAGTTTGAAGGAGAGAACATTAAAGAGAGACATGATAATACTCTTCAGATAATTTAAGGGGCCAATACAGAGATACATACATAGATGTTGTCATTAGAATGTGAAATCCACCAACGTTCCAGAAATGTGATTCTGGCAGCGTTTGAGCAGTTTTGTTTCCAGCCAGCATGTCTGTATCTCCTGATGACCAATCATAAAACGAAACAATATAATTTGCAAACTACAGGAGGTGTAAAAGGTTCTTGCTGTAGCAGTCACATGCTTTTAGTGCTGAAGAAATTCCCTCTACTAATATCCCCATCATCTTTACCGTATATTGTGGCTCTTAAGAGTAAGGGCTGGGGAAGATAAAGTAATGAACCAAAACCTTGTTGCTAAAGTAAATCAATAGAATTTATGGAAAAGTCGGCTCACCAAATCCCCGTTTATTCAATGGGCCTACTCTAGTGTAATTCACTACACCAAGCAACAGGATTTTGGCCATTATTGTTATCGCTAATAGTTTGGCATTGCTGTTACCTATGAAGTAACATATTCTAGATAGTGTTATTACTAGAGATGGGCACGAAGTTAACAGCAAACCTGGAAATTTGTCAAAAATCACGAATTCATTGATTTGGATCAGCTCAGGTTCATCCAAATGGGACAGTCTGAATTTTTACTGGACCTGCCATAACCTGCCCCTTTCCACTTGCCTCCATCACCTCCCTACCTTTTCCTGCAGCTGCTTCCTCTTCCACCACTGTTGCTGCCATCTTGAGAGCCCCCCCCCTCAGCCTGGTGGCCTTTGTGCATGTCCCCCCTCAGCTGGGAGGTGGGGCATGCACAGATGGCCCTCAGCTGCCTGACAGGCTGGCTAATTAACTAAAAAAAGAGTAAAGAATAAAATACAATATATAATTGTTGTTGTTAGCTGGTCTGTTAGCCAGCAAAGAGGGCTTTGCTCATGCCCCCACCCTTCAGCACAGAGACTACCCAGCCTGAGGGTGTGGCAGCCTCTCAAGAGGGCAGTGGTGATGGAGGAGGAGACAGTGGTAGGAAAAGACAGGGAAGCAACAGGGCAGTGGGAAGGGGGTAGGAGGCGGGCTGTGTTGGTGGGGAGGCAACCAGTTTTTTGGGGGTGGGTTAGACAGCCACCGGCTGTCTTAAAAAAAATCCTGAACTAACCAACATCCCAATTTCTGGTTTGCTTTGAAAAAAATCATAAATTTGTGGTTTGCTGTTCATGTACTTCCATGAACCAAGAAGTGAGACAAACTGCCATTTTGGATCCATTTTAGGTCCTAGCAAAGTGGGTGGATATCTTGTTCAGTGGAAGTCTCCATGAAGGGATTGTAGAGCCATCTGTTGGGGGTGCTCTAGTGCTTGATACAGTACATTGAGTCACATGTTGGTTTCTTTCCTGTGATTCTTACCTATATTTATTTATTTATTTATTTATTTATT